CACACAGTGAATTTTCCTTACTTAAAAGTGGATTTGAATCTGGATCTCAGTAGTTCTAATCCAACACTAATTTTACATTATAGTGACATTCCACTAATACTAGTGGAAGTTAAAGCTGAATGAAATGTATTGATGAAGAGGAATTTGGCCAATATGTTGATTCTGCAGATTATCAGTAGTAAGCCAGGCTTCAGAAGGGTATCTGATATTGACATTTCCATTTAACCAAGATACTGGAATCTCAAACATTTTGTTGTTGTTGTTGTTAGTTGCGAAGTCGTGTCCGACCCATCGCGGCCCCATGGACAACGTTCCTCCATTTAAGCTCACGCCTACTGCTTCAGTGACTCCATCCAGCCACCTCATTCTCTGTCGTCCCCTTCTTCTATTTCCCTCAATCTTTCCCAGCATCAGGCTCTTCTCCAGTGAGTCCTTCCTTCTCATTAGGTGGCCAAAGTACTTGAGTTTCAACTTCAGGATCTGGCCTTCTAAAGAGCAGTTGGGGTTGATCTCTTCTAGGACTGACCGGTTTGAACGCCTTGCAGTCCAAGGGACTCGCAGAAGTCTTCTCCAGCACCATAGTTCAAAGGCCTCAATTCTTTGGCACTCAGCCTTTCTTATGGTCCAACTTTCACAGCCATACATTGCAACTGGGAAAACCATAGCCTTGACTATGCGCACTTTTGTTGGCAGAGTGATGTCTCTGCTTTTTAGTGTACTGTCTAGATTTGCCATGGCTTTCCTCCCCAGGAGCAAATGTCTTTTAATTTCTTGGCTGCAGTCCCCATCTGCGGTGATCTTGGAGCCCAGGAAAATAAAATCTGTCACTACCTCCATTTCTTCCCCATCTATTTGCCAGGAATTGAGAGGGCCGGATGCCATGATCTTGGTTTTCTTAATGTTGAGTTTCAAGCCAACTTTTGCACTCTCCTTCTTCACCCACATTAAGAGGCTCTTTAGTTCCTCTTCACTTTCTGCCATTAGAATGGTATCATCTGCATATCTCAAACATAAAGAAGTAGAATTAGATTATTGTGGTTATTTGCACATTGAAAACTTAGAACCACTTTTTCTAATGAAAGAGATATTAAGGGTAGATTTTTCAGCCTTCTGAATTGTTTTTTATAAGACTAACATTGGTTCAGAAGCAATTAACACTTGGAATTTTAGCTTCCTAGTCTGGGATTTTAGTTAGCATTTATATTTTGTTGAGAATAGATATGGCCATTGGTTACTATTCTAAAGGTGCATGTTAATGATCCTCTTGTTAAGGTTGTACTTCACTATTGTCATATTCACAAGTAATGTTCGCCTTGTAAAAGGGTACTTCCAATTACTGTATATTCTTTGAAGTTGGTCACACAGCCAAGTGAATGTACTTTTTTTTTCCTTATCACCATGTTCTACAAAAAAGTAAAATATTTTGGTTCTTACTGAAAGCAAATGTCTCAAGCTGTCCTTGAGCTGCTATCTAGGCTTTTTCCTACCTTGTTAGAAATATGTGTGTTTTCAGCAGTCTTCACACTATCAGAAGACTTATTCTTTTTTTCCCCTAACCTACATATTTGCTTGTTAGATAAAGCAAATTACTAGAAAGATTTTGATAAAAGTCAAGCACAAGACCCAAGTCCTCCTGTGGAAGACTTGATGACTTTTATGCTTTATCCTCTGAGGCAGAACCACAGTTCAGCTTTTTCTCTCTGAAGCTACTTTAAAAAGCAGTTACTGACCTGAAATTGCTATGAAATTTTTACCGTTTATGACTAATTTAGCAAGGCGGGACAATTAAAAATGATAACGTTTCTTCTTCTATTAGAAGCTACATTTTATGTATCCATGATGCTTTTAAAAACTGCTTAAATTGATTCTGAGCAAATGTAGTATAAATATTTTATACCGTGCTTATATGATCAAGTTATTGTTTAAGAAAAAAAAGTTGTGTAAAATGTTAGACAAACAGAATGCCAGAGTTTAAATCCATTGCAGTTTCAGAACTATTGCTGATTAGGTTCTAACAGTCATTTTTACCAATTTACTTTATTCTCAAAGTTGGGTTTGCTGTTCATTTTGCTTGATATGAAAATAAATCAGACTGTATGTTTTAGATAAAAGGAAACTATTGCTTTCTTTAAGGCCTCTCACTCAGTAATAAGGAGTGCTAATGCATTCTTTTTTTTGGGGGGGGAAGAACTATTTTTTGCTTTCTTGAAGACGGTGACTGAGACCAAAATAACAGAGAGCAGAGATTCCAATCCACAAAACATCCAAAGGCCTATTGAATTCCAAAGGTCCATTGTGTCAAGAAATTGTTTTGGTTATTTGAATGTTAGTATTAAATTTCTAAGATTAATTTTTGCAGAAATTACAAAAATGGTTTAGCTAAATGCCAAGGACAGTAGAGTTTTTACATCTTTAGGTAGTAGAAAGGATTTTCTCAACCAAGTAGGGTAAGCTCCACCTGTCAACTTTTTCTCTGTACAACTGCATAAAATCCAGGAGGGTGGATTGCAAATTTCTGCTTATTTAGCTTGTAAATAATCAGAGTATATTACACTCAAAGGACATATGTTGCAGCTAACAAAGGAAAACAAATCATTTAGCTTCTTAGATGAAGTATTTTGCTTCTTGCTGACTCCTTCCACTTTGTCAGCTAAATAGGACATAATGCACAAAAAAGAAACTGATGAGATATTCTGGAGAGACATAAAAATCTGAATATGTATGTAAAGGCCTTAGAAGTATATTGAGAAATGTAATGTAGATTCTTCCCATATATAAATAAATTTCAGTTTTACACATAGACTTGTAACAAATTATCATGATACTTCTATAACATTTAGTGCTGTTTAGCACATTCATCCTGATGACAGCTTCAGACTGTGATGAAGAAATAGTTACTTTGGGGACAATCTTTTAAACTTGAAATTATTACACAAGAAAAGGGGTTACAACTCTTAGTGATTCTGGGCCTTGTCACTTTGTTTGGTTATTATTCTTAAGAGAGAAATGAAGTGCACCCACAGGTGCATTCACAAAATATGAAAATGAAAAAAATCAAACTCATTTCATTTTCAGTTACTTAAAATACAGACTGAAAATTTCAGTATTCCAGACTCTAGAATTCCCGTATTAGACTGTCAGACTGGGAGATAAATCTTAAATAGAGAGATTCCTCAGTTACCTGAATTAAAAATAAATTAATATACTGTATTCAAGATGTTGAGTCAAAACAAGCAGAAGTTGTATTTCCAAATCAAAGGCAGGACCACAGTCTTGTTTTACATTTTGTGGTATATTGCATTAAGCCATAATGAAGTTTGTTTTGTTTGGTTAAGAGTAATGGGTAAACCCAGCCACTGGTATGTTTATTCCTGTCATAAAGTACAATATGAGGCCTTTATGCAGTTCGGAAATGCTGTTACTTTGTGGTCCTGAAAACTCTTTTCCCTCTTCAATTGCAAAAAAATTGATGGCTCCCTCTATTTTGAGGCAAAAAGTATACAAGAACTGTAGTAGAAGCTTTACAATCACCCCCATCCCAATTCCAGGCAAAAAATAATACGGTAATCCCGTTTCTACTCTCATTCAAAAAGCCGTTCCGCTTTCTTTATATAACTATCTTACTGCAGCTTTGCCTCAGAAGTTAATTAAGTGTTGTCCCCAGATAGCAATATGTTATGCATTCCTAGTTTATTTTCTAAGTTTATTTGCAATTCAGGCCACTTCAGCTAGCTTAACAAACCATGGTCTAGTGCAATATGAAAATCCAGACATTAAGCACCAACGTTAATATATTATATGGGATATAATTGTAATAATTAATAAAGCCATGTATCTTCAGAAACAACATACTGAAATATTTATCTACTACTTTAAAATAATGGAATAAATAATGAACAAAGATTATTTGTAACCAGATATGCACACCAGCAGGGAAAACATTATAATCTGACTTATTTTCCTCACTTGCTTACTTCTGCCATGAATCTCCTGTAACAAAGAGCCTCTTTAGATCTAGTAGAATATAGAAACTTGGAACAGTTCTGCAAATACTGCATACATCTTGTTTAGATTTCTATAGAAAGCAGTTTACCTGATATATAGTTTGACATTATTTTCCTTTTTCCTGTTCACATTTGATAAAGCCATGTCATTTGATTATATGAAATGGCATACTAGCTTTGTGATTTAATATTTGATTATGTTTAATCATATCAAGAGTCTAAGGAAGTTGTCTTATTTGGGTGGGGCTTAGAGCCTTACTAAGCAATTTATTTACTGTAGGACGAGTGGCTCATCCGTGAACATATCTTGTAATGTTCACACTGGAATGCCTCTAGTTATGTCCATATTTACACATACATTATTTCTTACTTTAAATTTAGACCTGGATCATGATGATGATGATGGCCAAGCTTAATTTGCATTGTTGAGCTTTATTGACTGGCTGTTCCTATGTAAAGTTTGTTAATCCTTTGGGAATAGGTTGCTGATGTAAGAATTATTTTTCATTTGCAATAAAGGTAGTATACATTATTACATGATGTAAATACTGCAATATGCTTGCTTGTTTCCCTGCTTTAGTTCAAGCAATATTTTAGATGCTTTTTTTAAAAAAAAACATGTAATTAGTATCGATAAAAACCATTGCAAATAAAGATGTTCTAATTCTGGTGGTTAATAATGAATGTGGAATATTAAGACTCCAGCCAAATGTTCAAAAACAAAACTGTTCCCTTGTGTTGAGCAGACAAAACTGTTTATAGAATGCTGTACATTCAGAAAACCCTTGATTTTTGACAGCATAGGTAATCCTTGAGTTACAACAGCAATTGTAAAGCACAACATCATGTGACTCCATCGCTTAATGACAGCAATCCTGGCACTCGCAGTTGCTGTCATAACCCCAGCTTGTGTGGGTTGTTAAGCGGGGAAAAAGCAGTGGGAGGGTGCAGGTGCCATGGGAGAGGTGGAGGTGCTGGAGGCAGGCACTAGAGAGCATGGGCAGGTCAGCAGAAGCTGCAAGGGGGCTGGCAGAGGCTCAGGTGGGTCAGCAGAGGCTGCTGGGCGTGACCTCAGGTGGGTCAGCAAAGGATTCAAGAGAGCAAGGCACACATACACTATGGCAGGGCTTTTCAACCTTTTTCAACCTGGTGGTACTCGGATGTTGCCATATCTTAAAAGTGGTACAATGGGTGACATTGTACCACTTTTAAGATATGGCAACATCCGAGTACCACCAGTCGCCTAGCAAGGTGTCAAAAACTTGATGACGCCCCCCCAAAAAAGGGAAAAAGTGATAAAGTACAGGTAGTCCACGACTTACAACAGTTCGCTTAGTGACTGTTCGAAGTTACAATGGCACTGAAAAAAGTGCCCCCCAAGGCACAGCCGAGCAAGACACCTGCCTGCCCGCCCGGCCGCACTCTTCCTCCCGTCCGAGGTTTTCATTGTTGTGAGCATTTCTGTTGAGGATTGGCAGCGGGGATGGGGTGGGGAGTGTTTGGTTTTTATTCCCCCCCCCGGTCTGCTGGGGGGTTGCAGCGGGTTTTGGTCACTTCACATGACCCTGGGACACTGTGACCATCATAAATATGAATCAGTTGCCAAGCATCTGAATGTAAATCACAAGACTCTGGAGATGCTGCAACATTCCAGCTGATCGGCGCTTCTGGGCTCAGCAGAAGCGTCAGGATCAGCGCCGAGCTCCAGCTGGAGCCTGGCGCTGATCCTGGCACTTCCGCTGAGCCCTGACAGCCTTGCAGCTCCAGCCGTCTCTCACTCAGGCTTGTGCGGTGCTACCACCGGTTCAGCTCATTCCCCTCCCCCACTACCACTTTTCTAGGATGCTCACGTACCACCTGCCAGATGCCAATGTACCACAGGTGGTACCCGTACCACTGGTTGAAAAGCCCTGCACTATGGAGTGTAGATGGACGGGGTTACTATGAAGTACCAGATTCCTGGAAACTTGCACTCTGTAACAAGCTCCTCAGGAGAAAAAGCAGTGGGAGCAACTTACTAGGGCAACTTGCAAACTTCCCTGCTGGCTTCCCCATTGATTTTGCTTGTGGGAAGCTAGATGGGAAGATTGCAAATGGCAATCACACGATGTGGCTCGCTGCGATGTAATCGTGAGCCAAGCATCTGAGTGTGTAATCATATGACTGCGATGACTGGAATTTCAAGGAATAGTCACAAACCCACTTTTTCAGTACTGCTGTAACTTTGACCTGTCGTTGAATGAATAGACTAAGTCGAGGACTATCTGTAATCTTTTAGTGCTTGCAATTAATTGCATTCATTTAAAAGCCATGTGCTAATAAGTATTTGAGAATCCGGAATTATTAAATCAGAATAGTGCAGATGGACTCGAGCTTTTAAATTCTTCAGTTTACATTATGTTAGTAAACATTGAAGCAATGCCTCTTCAATTGGTTTACGCTTTGTTTTTTAAATAACCTGCCCAGTTTCCTAAGAAAATTCAAATGTTTTGAGTAAACAAAGATGTATTCCTGTACCATGAATGCATATGTTTGCTCACACATACATCAAAGCAAAATTGTATAGAACTGTGTCTAAAATAGGGGTATTCTGCTACAAGTGTAGGATTCCCAGTGAAGCTTAAAATAGATGGAATTTCAGGCTATGAGCCATCTACCTCATTTGGACCAGTTCTTACTTCTCTAGTTTCTTCACTGCCTTCCAGCAAAACTAAATAATATAAGTGGAAAGGCCTGGAAAGCAACAGGGGTTAACAAACAATATCAAATGAAATATGAAAGCAGACACAGAAGTTTCCTTTTCTAGCATTATCATGTAGTTTTTAAAAATTAATCTACCTTTCCTTATAATAAATCAAAACATTTTCTTGCTTTCTTCTGAATCTCATTTCATATTCTTGAGCTAGGGTAGGGCAGGCAGTTTGCATACTGCCCTACTCTACCTTGGCACCAAAGTAAATGCTCCAGTATCAGACCTGGCATCTTTTCTGCTCCTGCAAAATATACTCTTGAGTATTATGAGGACAGTGAGAACTTCAACTGGTAGAAATACTTGATGCCTTTCCTTACTCTTCTCATATAGTGCAAGTTTCCACTTTTTAAACTGTAGACTTATTAGTAATTAATGCAAAAAAGTTATATAAACTATCTGCCTTTTCTTTATTTCTTGATTCTTTTGCTCTGGTATCCATTTGACAGCATGTAGCTGCCACAAAGATGGTAATCTAATTTAACTCATCTGAAACAAGATCCAAGAATGTAGAAATTAAACTGAGTGTTTTATTGCTCAACTCAACTGGTTTCCTTGTGGGAAGTAAAAGGCAAATGGAAATACACCAAATTGGGGAAGAAGTTTTGATTGCTAAGAAGAGAATAAATAATTTATTCACCCCTGCCATATGTTTGCCCAGCTTTTTTGTGAATATATTTAAATTTCAAACTTAAACAAGAAGGGTAGAATGATTTGGTGTGAATCTGTTGTGGGGCTCAGTTGAGCTGTCCGGCTGTAGCTCAAGCCAGTCTCTTTCTCTTTGCAGATACCTGAAGGAATTCCGCACAGAGCAGTGTCCCCTGTTTGTGCAGCACAAATGTACTCAGCACAGGCCCTATACATGCTTCCATTGGCACTTTGTTAACCAGCGTCGTCGCCGATCTATCCGCCGTCGGGATGGCACCTTTAACTACAGTCCTGACATTTACTGCACCAAATATGATGAGACCACAGGGATCTGCCCTGAAGGAGATGAGTAAGTTACTCAAGGCTGTCTCTTATTTGACCTGACGGAAAGTCCAGCCTGCATTAACAGAGGAAAATTCATCAATTCCAGCTTTTAAAATCTTGCAGAAGAGCTTATCAAGAATGTGGAAAAAGCTATAGTTCCTCCCAAAGTCAAAGCTTTATTTCAAAGTTTTGTGCTCTGGAATAATTCTAGAAAAATTAGTGAGATTTATCATAAAGTATTTGTTTAGAGGATTGAATCCTTATATACAGTAAAACCTCTGAAAGTTGACCACCCAAGAGACTGGACAAAAGTGGTCAACATACGGAACAACTGTACTGATATGTAGACATGCCTCATTTTATTGTAAAGCTTTTATTATAGAATGTCATACAGAAACATACATAATGAAAACACAGGAAAATCATTCATCAATACTGTATTACACAAAATCAAAGTGTGATCATTCTTTCTGAAAAAAAAAAGTCAATTTTAGTCTGTTTCTTACTCTCTTTATGAAGTTAAGCGGAGAAAGCACTCTCAATGCTGGCTATACCACTCAGCATACCTGGGCATTTTTGCAGGGCAAATGACTCCCGAAAGTAAGGCCTACACCAACAATAAGCCTTAGTTTGATTTTTGGAGGGTGGGCCTAATATAAGCCCTATCCCAAAAATAAGCACTAGTTTGGGGGCGAGGCACACAACTAAAAATCAAGCTAGGGTGGGGATGTGGTTGTGGAGCTGCCCCACCTGTCCCGCACCCACTTACGTTACAGCCAGGCCTCTCCTTGCTGGCCCACTTCTTCTGAGGCCTCTTCTGCAGCCAGGCCTGCATTTCTCAGTCACAGGGCTTTCCGGAAGACCTGTGCAGCCAAGAACTGAGCTATGGATTCAATCCATAGCTCGGTTCTTCAAGACCTCAGCAGCCGAGTACCAAGGTATGGATTGAATCCCTAGCTCAGTACTCAGCTGCCTAGGCCTTCTGGAAAGGCCTGCTGCAAAATGCAGGCCCGAATGCAGCTGCAGAACTTCAGCCCCAGAAGAAGTGGACCAGCTGGGTGGGGCTGTTGGTGCCTACCCCGAAAATAAGACCTGGTGCCTCTTTTGGAAGGAAAAAAAAAGACCCGGTCTTATTTTCGGGGAAACACGGTATCTGCAATTTCTGTGTCCTCCTCACTTAATTCTTCTGCTTTGTCAGTTGCTTCCAGCACTTTTCCACAGGGTTGTACCTCGGTCAATACTGATTGGAAAATTGCTTCTGGGTCAGGGTTTTGCTTCAGCAGACAGATCATAGGTTTGTGCTTTAGGAATGACCCACTGCAGAAGCTGAGTTCGGTAATGCATTTTGAATGTTTTGGTTATGCCTTGGTCGAATGGTTGAATTTTTGATGTAGTGTTTGGAGGCAAAAATTTCAGTTTCATGTTTACAAGATGATTCACTTTGGGATGACTAGGACAATTGCCCACTACAAGGAGAATGGACAATTTCTTCTTCTTCATTTCTTGGTCCACTCCTCAAATAGAGCACCAGTCATCCATGCAGATTTGTTAGATTTCCAGGTGGCGGGAATATCTTTGGGCTGCAGGTTCTTGAATGAGCAAGGCTTTACCGAAGGTTTATAGCTTCTCTCCGTTTAAGCTAGCACACAGCAGAATTCTTAAAAAGTTCTTTAGAAAGTTTTCCACTCCTACATTTGTCACCCCTCGTAATGAGGCTCCTGTCAGGCATTGCCTTGAAAAAGAGTCCACACTCGTCAGCGTTAAAGATGTCATCATATTTACTGCCGAATCAAAGTCAAAAATATTGTATTCTTTGATATTCTTCTGGAAAGAAATTCATTACTACCAATTCTACATTTCACTTTTCTTGCCCTTGGTGCAGACTGGACTCAGCTGGTCAAGTTATAGAGAGTAACTTAATATTATTTATCAAGGTCCAGGTTGCCAAGATACAACTTACAGAGGCGGTCAATATAGAGAGGTTGGCTTTCTATTGTGTACATATAGTGTGTGTCTGGTCTATAAAAATTAGGTCAACTTAGGGAGGTGGTCAATGTAAGGAGGTGGTCAGCTATGGAAGTTTTACTGCATGTCCTTAATTTACAAATGGAATTATTTTCAGAAGGAAAAATGCTGGATTTCTCAACCCTGTTGACTGTTCATCTAAAAGGATTTTGAATTTTTTTGGTTAGAAAGCATGTTTGAGATTTTAAGTTTTTGTGAGCTCTTTCTTTTCCCCCCTCCTCCTTAGGTGTCCATTCCTGCATAGAACTACCGGTGATACAGAACGGCGATATCATCTACGCTACTACAAAACTGGAATCTGCATCCATGAGACTGATTCAAAAGGAAATTGCACCAAGAATGGCCTTCATTGTGCTTTTGCTCATGGGCCACATGACCTACGTTCTCCAGTTTATGATATCAGGTTAGTAGGGAATAAATTCTGTGATATTTACTTGCTGAATCTAAATGGAAATCCTGGAATGTAAAATGCTAATCAATGCGAAGTTCTTCAACATTAGAAGATTTATTGCTTTTTTGGACTGTCATGCATTGAAAGGTGACTTTAGGTAAAGAGCCTTATGAAAATGGTTATTGTGAATGGAATTAATACAACCCAATGTGCCACATTACAGAATTTAGATAAAATTCAACCATTGCACTGACTATAGGCTTGATAGCAAGTTAGCTAGAGAGATATTGAGCCTCTTTCTGAGGCAAATACTTTTGTACTTTTGTAGATGCCTGACAAGAATCAACTTTCAACCAAAAGAAAGTAAAAGCAATTGTGGATTTGTAAAAATAATATAAGCAACCTAAAGTATATGTAATGGCCAAATTAGATAACTCGTAGTAGGTGCTGGTCTGGGAGTTGTAGGGCTTTTCCCACACCCCTGGTGTTGTGCTTTCCTCGCATTCTCAAGATGGAAAGAACACATACAGATCAAGAAACCACTGCTTCCTTTTTGCTGCACCTCCAAAATGAGAGCAGCAGAGTTTCTGCCCTCTCATGAAGGCAGTTCTGTGGCTGTTGAGGACTGCTATAAAAAGCAGCTTGGAGGTAAGAGCAACTGCAGGAAAGGGGAGTGGAGTAGGGAGGGCAGAGGAACTCTGTCTCTCTAGATTTTTTTCCTTTCCAAGAGGTCTTTACACCTACTGGAAGAGACATAACTGTCACCAGTTTTTCCTCTTCTCTTGGATACTGGAGAGGAGAAAAACTAAGCAGTGGAGGTTACTAGTAGGAATAGCAACTTCATGGAATATGTTCCTACCTGAGCCTAAAAAAGAAAAACAGTTTTGATTGCTTGGCCTGTTTTGTTTTCTCTTAACAGCCCAACTAAAAATGGCCATGGAGCTATAGAGCTCTAAGGCAGAGGTCCCCAACCTTTTGGGCACCAGGGACCAGTTATGTGGAGAGAGGTTTTTCCACAGACCGGAGGGGGTGTAGTTTTGGGTGCTGCCTACATCTTGTGGATGGGGCTTTGCTCGTTTGTGCGGACCAGTTGCTGGCATGCCACGGACTGGTCCACAGACCGGGGGTTGGGTACCCCTGTCCTAAGGCATGCATAGGAAATTGTACTCTGTTTTCCATTGGAAAACATCACTTTTTCCCCAGAACAACAGGTTCGCACTGAGATGGAAGCTCCATGGTAAAAATATACAATACACTCACTAAACAGCACACCATTTTGGCACTAGGTTGAGGCAGATGTGTGAATGAAGCCAAATTACCAAATAACCAAAGGGTTAAGCATTTCTCCCCCATGCACCTCTAATCTGTGAAGAAATGCTTAACCCTTTTTCATTCTCTTCATCCTACTGCTTCTTCCATGATGCAGCCAACAGACACCTGGATCTGAGGGAGAAGAGATACCCAAGGGGAGATAATAAAATCAGGGAAAACAGTTAAGAACTATAAGCTGTGCAAATCACACCCTTTTCCATTGCAATTTTGGCGATGATGTTTTTTTTTCCTAGGCTGCCTTTTACCTCAGCTTTTAGTAGGATTCTCAATATTATTAGAAAGATTTTTTCAAAAAGCCGATAGGCACATATGTTTTTCTTTAAGTATCTGTACCTGCATATTGCTAATTTATCTATGTTCCCTAAGGGAGCTTCAGGCCATGGAAGCTTTGCAGAATGGTCAGACCACATCAGAAAGTGGCATAGAAGGTCAGTCTGCAGTTGCCGCTAGCCATGCTATGATAGAGAAAATACTCAGTGAAGAGCCAAGGTGGCAAGGTAAGTTCCTTGGGGTTTTACACAGTCCTGAATCCAATTATGCTTGAATTAGTCTCTCCTCTAAAAAACAGCCTTGTATAGAAATAAGTATGCTTAGGATTTTAGTTAATTAATTATACTTATCTTCACAGACACAACTTATGTTTTGGGAAACTACAAAACAGAACAATGTAAGAAGCCCCCACGCCTCTGTCGCCAAGGTTATGCCTGCCCTTATTATCATAATAGCAAAGATAGAAGAAGGAGCCCTAGGAAACACAAATACAGGTACAGTGCTTCAAAACCTGGTTATAAGGGGCCCAAGGCTTGACGTTTCCTTCGTTTGGATAGTAACTTCAATCTCAGTGTAATAAATACATCAAGCATGGTGGGAAGACTGTATTTCACATTAAGTAGTTAATTCATGGGTCAGAATTACATCTGTGTAAATGCTGCCATAAGTAAGGGTTAGGGCAGGGCTTTTCAACCTTTTCACCCATTGTACCACTTTTAGAATATGGCAACATGTGAGTACCACCAGTCGCCTAGCAAGGTGTCAAAAACTTGATGACCAAAAAAAAAAAAAGTGATAAAGTACAGGTAGTCCTCGACTTACAACAGTTTGCTTAGTGACTCTTAGAAGTTACAATGGCACTGAAAAAAGTGCCCCCCAAGCCACAGCCGAGCAAGACACCTGCCTGCCCGCCCGGCGGCGCTCTTCCTCCTGTATAAGGTTTTCATTGTTGTGAGCATTTCTGTTGAGGATTGGCAGCAGGGGTGGGGGTGTGTTTGGTTTTTATTCCCCCCGTCTGCTGGGTGGTTGCAGCAGGTTTTGGTCACTTCACATGACCCTGGGACACTGTGACCATCATAAATATGAATCAGTTGCCAAGCATCTGAATATAAATCACAAGACCCTGGAGATGCTACAACATTCCAGCTGATCGGCGCTTCTTCTGGGCTCAGCAGAAGCACCAGGATCAGTGCTGCTTTCCAGCTGATTGGTGCTTCTTCAGGGCTCAGCAGAAGCGCCAGGATCAGCGCCGAGCTCCAGCTGGAGACTGGCGCTGACCCTGGTGCTTCCACTGAGCCCTGACAGCCTCGAAGAAGCTCCGATCAGCTGGAAAGTGGCACTGATCCTGGCGCTTCCGCTGAGCCCTGACAGCCCTGCAGCTCCAGCCATCTCTCGCTCAGGGTTGTGCAGTGTTGCCACCGGTTCAGCTCATTCCCCTCCCCCGCTACCACTTTTCTAGGATGGTTGCGGACCACCTGCCAGGTGCCAATGTACCACAGGTGGTACCTGTACCACTGGTTGAAAAGCCCTGGGTTAGGGTGCATGTGCTTTAAGCCTGTTGCGCTCTATTATGATGTCAGCATGAAAAAGAAAATAACCCTTGTTGCAAAATAAGTTCGCATATAAGTAGGTGGCTTTCAAGTTGTAGTTCTCAGCCTATTGCCACATTGGAGTTACATTCTAAGAATTAATCAGGGAATACTTAACGAGATGCAGCTGTTCTGTTATGATGTTCAGAATATTGTTTCCTCATGAAAACTGGAATGAGCATCAAACCGAATGGCCTCAGAGTGAAGACTTTTTGAAACAGCACTTTTCTGAGAAGTGTATTTCAAGAAAAAACATTATACTTCCTAATCATATGCTGATTAGCAGTTATTTATCTCCTTTCCTTATGTTCCTGCTGCCATAAGCTTTCCTTTTCTAAACATTAAGCACTATTTTGGGGACTGTTTCAGGGCTCAGCTATAACCCAACTACATATTTATAATCTACTTGTCCTTGACCAATTTGAATTAAATAGAAGTGATTTGTATTAGCGTTGTTTGATGAAATGCAATTTGTCCTTCTTGAGGAAGACTAGCAAACAGTAAAGGTACTCCGTGTCAGAAATTCAGCTATACAACTATTGTAGATACGGTTTCTCTGTTTGGCTCAAAAATTATATGACTTTCTAACTCGTTCTTTTTCTACTTATTGCTACAGATCCTCCCCATGCCCTAGCGTGAAACATGGAGATGAGTGGGGAGATCCTAGTAAGTGTGACAATGGAGATGCATGCCAGTACTGTCATACCCGCACAGAGCAACAGTTTCACCCAGAGGTAAAGACTCTTCCTTGTTGGTCATTTACATAGATAAATGCAGAGATTACACAATTTACTGGAGATGATAAACCATACAATACTCATGCTAATTACTGTTTTGATTGTCTCAGAGGATGATTTACACCAGAAACTAGTTGAGAGAATATACCTGACTGTCTTCTTGATGGCTTTTGATACCATCTGGCAAAATTGGGCCTTGAAAACACTGCTCTGCAACAGTTTTGGTCCTTCCCGCCAGAAGGTGCCGCAGGGGGACTATGGTTTGACCTCCTAGAATGTTGACCTATAGTACCCCATAGGACTTGGCTTGTCCTTCTGTGCTGTTTAAAGCTACACAAAACTCCAGAAGGAACTCATTCAGAGCAGGAATGTGTTGATGACAACTTGCTCAATTGATGACAGCCTGCTCAATTGCTCCCTACCTTCTAATTCCAAGATGCAGTTGGTCTCTTTGAAGTTTGCTCATTATGATAATGGACTGGATGATGACAGAGAACAAACCGAAGTTAAATCCAGAAGATGGAGGCACTCTTAATAAGGAAACACTTTGGTTAAGGAGAAAGCTAGACTCTGAGACTGAGGTATTCTGTAGCCTCATGAAGATACAGAGGCTTTACTGTCAGGGAAATTTTTTCTCTTGTGTGCTTCCCAGGCTATGGAATGAGCCCCCTACAATGAGTTGGGTTTTGATTTTAATCTTGTTATGTTTTATATATGAAAGTTTTATTGTGTGTTTGGAAATATAAGGTATAGATGCAATAATATATAAAAAACAAATTCAGTGCATCCTGTTTACAAGCCTTTCTGTTGTTTAGAGATTGTGAAATTGCTTAAAAACTCACTAGAAAGATTTAAGATTGGGCTCCCTGATAAGGGTGCTTCTGAAATATACTAGAGGATTCCAAGTTAAGGAGGACAAGGCAGATTGAAGCAAAGTTTGGTTGGTGGGAAAACAGCTTTCCAAAGGCCACAAAATTTCAGCAATTGAAAACAAAGTTTGTGAGGTGAAATGTCTCACAAGGAGTCAAAAAATAATCAGCTCAGCTGTCCCGGAAAGAAGATGGCATGTGATCATAGTGACATATAGGAACTGTGCCAAAGCCATATGTGGAAGTGCCAGGAGAATATGGCTAGCAATTGGTGGGGCAGTGCATCTGGATTGATTTCCATGTATTTGAAAAGTTTTCTTCCGAATTACTTCTTTTGCTGAAAATGCATTACCTAAACTGAAGTATTGTTCCTGGATAGCTCCATTTGATGGGACAATCTTTGAGTAAATTGCAAAGATAATTAATACCACAGTCCTATATGCACATTTAAGGGTAAGCCGTTAGAGGTTCTGTGTGAATAAGAGTAGATTATGCTATAATTCTGCCCATATGTTATGTATATGCATGCATCACTGGAAATAGTTCTTTAAAGATCTAAGGTACAATTCTGTAGATATTAATTCCAAGCATAGGCTGAGGTTCAGAATTATATGCAGTCCTCAGTCCACCAGAATCCTCAAATTTTTATTTTTAGAATGATTTTTTTTTTTTTTTGCTTTCAAGTTAGTCTTTGATTCCTGGAGACTTCCTGGATAAATCCCTGCAATTTTCCTAGCAATATTTTTAGAAGTGGTTTGCCATTGCCAACTTCTTAGAGCTGGGGGAGAGTGACTGCTCCATGATCACCCGATTAGCTAGAACTAATTAGACTAGAACTAATTAGACTTGAACTCACAGTCATTCAGTTTCTAGCCTGGGGCTTTAAACCATTACACCACAACTGGTTCTTTTTTGGAATGGCAGGCAGGACAAATTATTGGAGTCATATTATCCATATCTAACTGATTGAGTTAATTAAATTATATGAAACTAAAATTATGTTTGTTTTGAATCTATCTATTTTGGGGTTTTTGGGGGGGAATGCTGCCCATCCCAGCATGCTACTCTAAGACCCAACATAGCCTCAGTCTCCACAGATTTATTCAGTCTATATTTAAAGTGCAACCGAAATGTCAAGCTATCTATTATACTTCTTAATACATTTCTCTCTTTCTAAATCCATCATAAGCAGCTGAGTTTGAGCAGCTTCATCTTGTCCCAACTTTTCTTTTTGTTTGTATTTTTCCCAGATCTACAAATCAACAAAATGTAATGATATGCAGCAGTCTGGCAGCTGTCCCAGGGGACCCTTCTGTGCCTTTGCACATGTAGAACGTAGGTGGTCTTCTCTTTATGTAGCAATAATCTGTCTACTGAATGTTATTCTGAGTCTTGTTTAGAGTACAACATTGCTTGCTATATTAAACAAGGCAAGTATAATTTTAAGCAACCAAACTTCCTTCCTCCCTCATAATTAGTCACATAGGGGGGGAAAAACCCAAAAATAATATATAGTGAATTTTATTTCAAACTGCATATATTTTTTTTAGAAAGTAGTCTTCAGTCATCAGATGGTTGATAGCCCTGCGCTTTGTTCTCAAAGCAGAAGTGACACCCAGTGGCTAGTTAAAGATACTGTGAATGCTACTGTGTACTACTTATTTTGAAGTTGTAATTTGCTATTGGTATGATCTAATTCTGATGGAACAAAAGGGGACAAGTTTTTTTTACTATATTGTTTGTCATGCTCTTCCTTCAACTATAAAACAAGGGCACGATGAAGAAAAAAAATGCAATTTTTTTTAAAAAAAACTTTTGACACCGACTGCTTCCCAACAATGAACATATCCATAGTTGCTTTTAGAAATGCCTAGAGCATCCAGATATTATTATTCAGTCATCTGTTTATATTGTCTGTTTTTTTTCTTTCCTTTTTAACAAGGATAATCACTTGAGACAGAAAAACTTGGAACAGAAGCACAAACCTTCAAGAGGTTACTCCCTGAACACCTACTTGCCATCATAGACATGGATGGTTTTTTTCATTCCTAAATGTGCATCGCTTTTTGTACACCCCAAATTCCAGAATTTCAAAATATTATACATCCATGATTTTCAGATTAGGCCTCTTCCTGTCAACCTTTTGCATTGAGAGTAGGATAAAGATTGTCGGCCTTTTCAAACAAGCTATGGTGTAATATATGCAAAGCCAAGATCTCATGAAAGAACTACAGATAGAGCTTGTGTTTTGAGGTTTCAGCTATTTTTAAGCTCAAAAAGAAATAAACAGTCTACTAACTGGTAACCAATTCTGTGATCATATTATGTCCACATTGAAAGATCAATTATTTTTCAGTCATAAATAAAACTGTTTCTAATTTTTGAAAACATACATAATTTCAGGGTTGATTACATTTTTATTTCAATATGAAGCTGCTTTTATATTAAAGTTACCCAGGTGATATGAAAGGAATTTCAGCCAGACCTTTCCAATCTGATTTAGTTAACAATTATTTAAAATGTTTATATTTTATTAGTAGTTGTCTTGAAGGCCGTTTAGGGAGAAAGGTGGAATATACGTTGAATAAAAAATCTTAAGTGTAATAAACTAGGGCAGCATAAAGCCTAATTAAAGCAGCTACTATGAATATGTATCTGCTATTCTTTAAGACTATCGGTATAGGGAAAAAAAGGAAGATGTTACATTCTCTCCCTTAGTCTTATGATGCCTTCTTGTTTTTTCTATAGTGGTTTGTAGATTGCTGCAGCTGGAAGATTAGCCCTTAGAACTAGTGCTAGGCATTGCCTGTTTAACCTTTGCTCTTATAGAGTTGTTTGTGAACCCATTTTTGTAACTGCATTTATCGTGTGGTTTGTTTTGTTCTGTTTCTTATAGAACCTCCACTTAGTGAAGATTTACAGCCAACATCTGCTGTCTCTAGCCCAACGCAAACTGGCCCTGTAATGTACATGCCCTCAGCAGCAGGCGATTCTGTTCCTGTCAGCCCTTCTAGTCCACAAGCCCCAGACCTTAGCAATGTATGTAAAATTGTTACAAAATTCCTCACTGAGCATGTGATACTGCTGTTCTCTCTAAATATAAGTTCTTTCTAGATAGAAGAACATTGCTGACCCTTTTTTGATCCCAAAAGCTTGAGCTTGTCTTTGTGAATAATGGCAACTGCTCCTACGTCATGGGTGTCCAACCTTTTGGCTTGCCTGGGCCACATTGAGTGAAGCGGAATTATGTTGGGATGCAAATGAAACATATAATATCGTTAGTATATATAAATAACAGATAATAATCTTAAAAGTTTATGATCTTGTGAGGCCGCATTATTAGCTGTCTAATAACCTGTATCCAACCTGTCATGGCCCACAGGTTGGATACACCTGTCCTAGTTAAAAGTTTAAAATAAAATAAAATAAAATAGATAAAAGCCAACAGGATCGCCAACATGATTCTGAACGTCCGATAACGGGTATGGCACAAGAAGAAGAAGATAAAAGTTTAGGATTACAGGCTCAGAGCTAGCTCAGCATCTTTATAGCATTTAAATTGCATAAATTATACATTAGTTCTAGTTCAACAGAATCTTGCCACTTTTCAATTGAATAAATCCAACCAATTCTTAGAAGTGATATTGCTACTACCAGGGCTTTTTTTCTCAGAGAAAAGGTGGCGGAACTCAAACCTGGCCACGCCCTCATCAAACCCTAGGACCGCCCCTTTAGAGAACAGGAATGCAAGTAAAATTTGGGAGGGGCTATTTCCGGTGCGGGAGGGGCTATTTCCGGTGCGGCCGGCCCGGAAAAAGGTGCCGGAACGCGGTTCCGCCGCGTTCCGGCTGAAAAAAAGCCCTGGCTACTACCTAGCATAAGTTTTCACCTTGGGGGATTTTGAAGGGTAGATTATAATACTGCATGAGATCTTACACATATCTTAGTCCAAATTTGTATCATAATGTGACACATACTGTACATGTAATATAGCTGACAGAAAAAAATAAAGCTTGTTTTAATTAAAAATATGTCCAAGTGAGTAAACCTGTGTGTCTTCCAGAAATCTGTAGCCCATGTCACATATGATATGTTTCATTTATCTTTGCACTGTAGGTATGGAATAAACCAGGAACTCTACCAACTAGCCCTACTTCTGCTACAGTAAGTATTCTCTCTAGGGGAAGAGGCATTATTTTGAATTGGGGAGCATATTCACTCCATTATTGTGATAAGCATCTCCAAATTGCCTGCTCTCTGAAACAGAAGCAGGACATATTTCATGGGTTTACTTTTTCCGCTGTGAGAATTCGAAACCACTTTAAATATGACAGCATCAATTTACAGTAAGGAATGTACTTGATTTTGCATTAGAAATTTGTATGATATATTGAGATTGTGGCAGTTGATGCAGTATTTGGATCTCTGAAGGTCACAGAAAGCTGTTACAGCATATGAACTACGGAGAACAATCAAAATTGCAGTGAAGATATTCTCATCTTTAATAATATGGCTATGTTGAAAAAAATGCTCAATATTTCTAAGACACTAAGGCAAAATGTAATTATTTGGACTTTTATTAAACTGTGGCTTTGTATATTTCAGTCACTTGGTTGAATTTAGAAGTTAACTACCAGCTGTGGTACAAAGGTAGAGAGTGTTACAATTGCCTGTTACAATCTAATACACAAATTATCATCTTTTTTTCTTCCTGTTTCTATTAGATTCTCTGTAGAAATAGCAGTCTTGGAAGCCCATCTAATTTATGTGGATCCCCTCCTGGTGCAATTGGAAAACCCCATAGTTTGGAAAGCATTGGTTTTCCCACAGATTCAGTAACTAGTGCAAGTAGCTATAAGAAGGCACCTGGATTTGAGCGGGAAGACCTGGTTGGAGCAGAGTACCTAAAGAATTTCAAATGCCAGGTAGGTCTAAAATACTAGAAAAGGATATGGGATGTATGTATGATAAATTGTTATCATTAATGATATGATATATCAACAATATATTAGCTCTGGAACCAATTGTTGATACTTCATGCTAGGTGTGTAGTGCCTGTGGGTGCCTTAACATCTGCCGATAAATCCCTTGGGATCTGCCTGTCCATCCTAACTTTATAAAGCTACATTAATATTAGTTTTTGTTCTATTGCAAGCTGGATGCACTGCAAAATGAAGAGATGCCTTGCAGTATGCTTTTTACTTCCTTGGAATACCTCTTGTTTTCCATAAATAGAAAGCCTTTACATTCCACATGAGCATAGTAGCGTCATTGTTAGAAAATGACTATGATGAATGAATTGAAAGGCATACATTCCTTTGAAGTGTACCCAGGCATTGAGAAAATAGTGTGGCAAACACCTCCCTGTCTCTGCATTGGTGATTGCTATAAAAGTACTAACTTATGTAGATTGGTTTTAGAGCTGACATGCAGTCAAGTAATGCATATATAATTGTTGCAAGGTTCGTGTCATGGATCTCTGTATAGTATTGTGGGAATCCAAGAGGTGCAGGTCATGAAAACATAAGTAAATACAAGCAAGTATAAAGAGGCTTTTGAGGAAGAGATAATGACACTGCTGGAAAGGTTTTGTATTTTAGAGAAAAACAAATCTCAGAAGAATTGAAAGCCTGGGATAGGAGATACTCAGAATAAATTTTATATTTGCTCTATTTAATGTGAGTTAGACTTGGAAGCTTCAGAAATGATTCATAAAATGTACCAAAGTAAAAATTATGCAAATATAAATTAATTTCTTAGATAAGCAAATGAGAATTTATTCAGAATATAGATAGTTCTTGCTTACTGACTGCCTGATTTAATGTCCATTTGAAGTTACAATGGTGGAAATAACATAGCTTTGCAACCAATCCTTGCATTTATGATCATCACAATGCTATTTGTGTGCTTCCCAACTGACTTGCAACAAGCAAAGGTCTTAGAGAAAGTGGAAATAAAATTGTAAGCTGCAGTTATGTAATGTTTTGCTTAATAACCATGTTTATTCACTTAGCGAAGTGAGATTATGAGCCTGTTGCAGTCACATGAAGTTGTACAGCGTCAGAATTGCCAGTCCCAACTAGAGTCACTAAACAAGGACTACCTGTAGAATCAGTATTTCCTTAAAGTTCATTTTTTTGTCCTGAGATCTGTTTTTGATTTTACGTGTACACTAAACCCAATATTACAGAAATACAGCTC